CCGGGCGCTTTGCTTTAAAGAGGAACTGCAGCAGGTCGCTAAACTTTCCGAGGAGATTTGCATGTGCCCTCGCAGCTCCTGCCGAACAGGCTGCAGCTGCGGTGGAAGTTCTCCGCCCGGGCTGTGGGGTGACTTTACCCTCCCGAGAGTAAAGGGGACGCGGCCTCGGGCGCGGCCAGGCTGGGCACGGCTTGGCTCTGGCTTGTGAGTGGAACAGCGACGGCGAGGAGGTAGGGAAGCAGGCGTAGGTCTCCAGATGTACACAGTTACACGCTCCCTGCACGTGAGTCCTGTGAGCTCTACGATTATAAGTCGTATTCTTGACATTAAGCCATTACTAAGAGTTCAAAGTGATACTTTCTGAAAATACGGACGTTATTTTTTTTAACAAACTTTGGTTAAATATCGGTGGTGTTTTGCAGGTGGCATTTTCCTACTTGTGTCTTATTCCATGATTATTCTTCTATCAAATGTCTGCAAGATGTATTTCTTGACCTAAGTGGTCTGCGCATCTTGTCCACCAAGTTCCCGATCACACTGTTGGCATAATCGAAGTAGCGTTAATTTTGGTGCGATAGGAAATGTTTATTGACACAGAGGGGCAATTCCAGAAGAATCCAGATTTTAGGATAGCGGAGGGCTGACTTGGAGAGCCTGCTGTATGTGTATGTGCTGTAGGGTGTACTCTCTGGCTTCCAACTGTAGAAGCAGATCCTCTTTTAGTTTTGTAAAACTGCTTCCTGTCTGAAGTAACGTAGTTGAGGGTGCTTAGTGCGTAATCGACACAGGGTAGAAGAAATTAAAAGGCTAACAGCACGCATAACCCAACTCAGGCCGATCAGGTAAAAACCCTGATAAAATCAGTATGACTTGCAGGGCAGCCTGGCTTCAAATGGAAAAACAGTTTTTAGCTTATTCTCTGGAATCCTTTGAGAAATAACTTTAGAAAGGAGAAGATACAAGTTTTATCTCCTTTGATCAAAACCGACTGAGGTCAGCGTTGCCATGCCTCTTTACAAAACTTGTCAATACCGAGGGAGGAAAATGGGTAAATATAATTGTCATTTAATCTCTTGTGGGAGGTCAGTGCCTGCACTTACTTCAGACTAATTAGCATGGGATTAATGGATCATCTGTCTAGTATCCAAATAAGCACAGCAAATTTTGATTGCCCTTGATGATTCATGCTTGTCAAGACAGCTGTAGTTTTTTAAAGTACTAGCTGTACCGCACAGCCGGTTTCGCAATGGCATTGCGAGCTCCTCTCGGGCGAATCACAATCAGTCAGGAGGGTGCAGAGCCAGTGATGTGTCGCGTGGGATGTCTGTGGCCCCGGCAGCCACCCTGCTGCTGCAGCTTTGGGGAGCTGATGTGTCAAGTGGGCTACAGCCGCTCACATGCTCCAGGCGTTACTTCTGCTTAAAAGTGTTCCGGGGTTAGTGTCCTCAGATCGGTAATTTTAGTTGGTAATGTAGTAGCTATTGGCTGGCTTATAAACTCAGTGTAGAAGGCTCCTTAGATTTGGTCTTGGGTTTAGTTTACGATTGTGTTAAAGTTTATTGCTGCACCCTGACGTGTACCCAAATATGAGCTTCATCCTCCCACAGCTTATCTGCTTCTCTTCCCTCCTGGTATAAACAGTGAGCCTTTGA